TCTGGATTTTGGACACACATGCACATGTGCCCCGTGTGTTTTAAAAGATACAGGCAAGGACTAGAACCATTCAGTCAGTCGTGCAGGATCCAACTGCCTTACGTGCCATGCCACAGGCTTGTCTCCAAAAGTCTTTCAACAGAATAAGTTTCACTAACTTCAGAAAAATACTTGTTATAACTTAACTTCCAGAACACCTGAGGTTTTAATTTTATACAATTATTTTATTCTCATTTTAGTTCTGTGAATGTTAAATAATAGATTATTAGTTCTACTTGTTTCATTCAGCCTCTCTGAAGAAAATAAAGACTGATTACAACAACAACAAAAAGAAACTTACACTTTAACCTTCACAAAAGTAAGAGTGAAGGAAATTTAAGTTTCATATGGGGGATAAGCGGAAGGTAAAAGCATTCTGTAGATAATATGGACATAGGGCCATATGTGATCATGAGAGTGTAAATGTCTGGGTACTAGCACCAAGTCCAGGCATTATTTCAATGTTGAAGACCGTGGAATTGGTGGGGCTCAAGTCATAATGTTCAGATAGAAAAGAGTGACTTGTACTCTTTGGGATACATATGGAACAAACAGAAAATGTCAATAAGATCAACATATGATATGAAGACAGGGTAGAGTTGGGAAAAGAGATGCAGGGGAAGGGAAGGGGCTGCTGGGCTCCTGGGTGGGGAGGGCCTGTGGACACACCCTTCTCTGAGGTCCCCACCCTCAACCTCAGAAACCCTTTGTGACTCTTCCATGCTCTGTGATACAGGCCTGGGACTGTAGTCAAACCTTAAACCCAGAATTCATTTGCCTCAGACAGCCCAGTGATTCAGACAATGGAGAAGATTCTCTCTTATCTAAAGAGCTATAGTGAGTCAGACCTGAGCTTGAACTCAGCCTTCTTAGCTGTTGAGCCCAAACTTTCTTTTCTGAGTGTGGTCAAACCCTTGAACTCAGAGCTCAGTTGCCTCAGGCAGCCCTGTGATTTAGACAATGGAGGATATTCTCTGTTATCTGAAGAGCTATACTGAGCCAGGACTGAGCTTGGGCTCATCCTTCTTAGCTGTTGACCTCAAACTCACTTTTTTGAGTGTGCTGGGGTTGCTCCTTCTGTATGTGTGCTATCTGGTGTTGTCACCACTCTTATCAACACTTGAAAGAAGTCAACATACCCAAAAGGTAAGATATCATGGATGAACCACCAGGAGATTTTTTGTTGTAGTTGTTTTTGTTTTTCCTGCCTATTTTCACATTTTTAAATGAGTTTGGTTGGCTCAGGGGGTGCTCCTGAAGTAGAAAGTCTGGGAAGAGGAGAGACTTCTGAGGAGATGGTCAGGCAGAAGTGGGGACTAAGTTTCCCATTTGAGGTGCAGAGACTGTCTGGTGTGGCCAAGGAGTTCAGGACAAAATCCCAATCACAGTGATCCTAAGATCATGGGTTGGCTTAGGTGGAGAAGGTGGGTTCTCTGAAGGGAACAGTCTCTCCTGATAGTTGATCATGAGTTTTGTTCCATGTCAGGCAGAACTTGACCAAGACTTCTTTCATGTTGGGCTGATCAGTAGAGCAATGCTGAGCCTTGAAAGACTCTGAGCAGAGAGTGGACACTGAGCTCTGTTCCAGGAATCAGGGTCCTCTGAGGGAGAACAGAGGTGACCATAGAACTTCAGGTTCTATGTCCTCTTTGAGCAGAAGACTTCTGAACATTAATGTCAAGTGTGTACCTCAAAGATAAAATATTTTCTTGAGTTTCCAATGAAGAAACAATTGAAAATAATTTACTGCCTTTCAAAATTAATAAAAGAAAAATATTTATTGATTAAAATGAAGAGCCATACTATTCTTAGATAACTAATATCTGATCTTTTAGAGAGAGGAGTGTGAGAAGTGAGTCCTAGTCTCTCACCTGTTTTGTTTGTTTGTTTTTTCCATTTCTTCTCAGAGTCAAGGCAGAGCAAAGAGGAGAAGGAAAGGTGGGACATCTCAAGGTAAGTTTCTTCCTGTTTGACTTAGGTCCTACAGTTGACCCTTCCACTCTTTTCTATGAGGTCCAAGGTTCATAACCTCTGAAAATGTCAGTTGTTAGATATGGTCTCTCAGAAAATATAGCCATGGGAGAGGCTCACAGGAATGCAGTCTAACCTGAGATGCTTCTCAGAGTCCCTGCTCTGGTTAAACCTCATGATAGAGCTGTGATGGACCTGGGCTGCCAATTAGGCGGCCATGTGAGAGGTGGAAGAAGGACTACTGGTTGGTTTGGTATCAGAATTTCAGTCTCAAGGTCAGCATGTGATGTACTGTGTAAGGAGCTGGACTCTGACATGGTCGACCACAGTTCTAGTCCAAGACCAGACAGCTTGAAACTTATGCCAAATGTGTATACATGGATGCCAAAAACCTCAAGACAAGATTGAAGGAGAGGATATTGTGGCATGGCCATCTTCCCTGGGGGATGATTTCTCACTTTCTCTCTGTGTATTTCTACGTCTCTCTCTCTCTCTCTCTCCAGCAAATGTGCATACCCTATGACAAAATCCTAAAAAAAGAAATGTTGTCTCCTGATTTGGTGTAAGTATTCCAACTTCCAGGGTGCTCAGATTTCTCTTTGAGCAAACCAGTGACTGTGTGCTTCTAAGAGTGACATGGAATATCATATGAGATCATGTAGGAAAAAGATTTTAGAAATAAAAACATGTATACGTGTGAGCCTCACCAATGTAATCATTAATCATTTAACATTACTGCTTATTCATGGGGCTTTCAGAGTTTAATATTCCAAAGGTCTCTCATAAAGCAGCTCCAGTATGAACATTATGCTTCTAACTTTAACCATACAACCCACTCCTGTGTTTCCCAGGTCAGAGAGGCTGCTGGAGAGAAGCAGAGAAGAGGAGGCTAATTTCTATTCTCAAAAGGTGATTAGTCTTTCACCTTCCTTCCTGGTCCCATTTTTAGCATTTTCTATGAACTCCTGGGATCCAATGCAGTCTGCAGCTGTCATGGAGGGGGAAACCATAGGATTGGGACTGTGCACAAAGGCAGAGGGGAGGGACCAGAGAGTATATTGTGAAGCCATGGTGTGGGACCCTATGAAAGGGTAGCAGGCTCAGGTGGCCCAGCCCCTAGCCCAGCAGGCCCTCCTTTGCCCACTCTGGTCCTGGCTGCAGCTCTGTATTTCCTGTCTCCTGCAGCCCCCTGGGCCAACATCAAGATTCCATCCGCTTTCGTCAGCTTTTGTGCCCAGACCCCCTCTGTGAGGTGTGTAACAGATCGACGGCTGAGGTCAATCGCCTGCTGGACCAGGTGTCCATGGAGGAGGCTGCTCCCTCTGTGTCCCTACTGGTTTCCACAACGTCTATGACTGAGTCATCCATCTTTCTGCCTTCCACACTATCATCAAGCCCTCCAGCAGATCTAACTACAGGCCCTCTGTCTGAGCCTTCTCCAGCTCCAGCCTCCAACCTGCCACCTAGTCTGACCACACCCTCCCCTGATTCACTTTCACCCTCACCACTGAGTGACGCTGAACCACCAGAACCTGTGCCACCCTTAGATTCCAAATTCCCAGCAGATCGTTTCCCATCCTCATCATCTTCTTTCTCTAGAATCACTCCACATCACATTCAGAGAGAAGATGATTCTGGTCTCCAGTCAGGAGTCACTTTTTCTCGGGTGGATGGCCCTGCAGGGTTGTCCACTTCTGTCCCAGCAGTAAGAGATCTTGAACAGTCAAGGGTCACAACTTCACAAGTGTCCTTACCTCCTGCCAAGGGCTCACTTTCCTCCAACTTGGCACAAAGTGAACTGGAGCAGGAGCTTCTTCCCTGCCATTCTTCTGAGACTGCTTTTGAGAAAGCCACTACAGCCAACATGGCAGAGTCATGTAATCTTTCCTTTCTGAGCCCTGAAGGGAGACAAAGTCAACAGAAAGGCAATGCCCTGATACAGAAAGGGAAGGAGAAGACAACAGGCTCTTTCTCAAAACGACTTAGCCCAGACTTCCAAGTAAGTCCTTCAGGGAAAATGTCAGAGTCCATTGCTGCTCAGCAGGACTCAGCATCCTCCCCTCCTTTAACCAGCAAAGGCGAACCAGAGCATCTGCCTGTGCCCGAGCGGTCCCCATATCTTAAGAATGACGAGGATCCCTTACAGAAAAAGTCTACCTCATCTCTGCACAGGGAATCCGAACACCCTACTGTCCCTGTCTCAGGTGACAGCTCCTCAACCTTTGCGCTCAACAGAATCTCCAAGGCATCCATAGCCAAAGTAGCCCCAGTCATTCCCTTTTACCAACCTCAGCCCATGCCTGAGATCCCACCTCACCCCATGTCCCAAAGTCTGCCACAATTTGAGTCCAAATATCTCACTCAGGCCCAATCCCAGGATCACTTTCAATGTCCAGTCTCATATCTTCCCCCTTCCACTCTATCCCAGATTAGGATCTGTGGGGTATGTTTTCATAGACCCTCAGATGAGCCACAGTCTCTTTCACCAACTGAAATTGACCACCTGGAATGCAATATATTGAAGAAAGAACAGGAGAAATTGTGGGGTTTACCCTCGGTGGTCCAAAGTTCTCAGAAAGAATTTTGTCCCCCACCTCCCAAACTTCCATTGGTCAGCCACTTCTCTAAGTTCCATGTTTCAAGCTCCATTTTTCCCCTGAGCAGTGAGCTTCAGAAGAAACTTGAGCACCACCTTAGGAAGAGGCTCATCCAACACCGGTGGGGCTTGGCCCGCAGGGGTCATGAATCTCTGTCACTGATGAATCCTCAGAGAGATACTACTGAGACATCTCAGTCAAAGAGCAGTTATGGACTCTCCTGGATCTCTTTGTTTAAGGGTCAGAGCAGCGAAGAGCTAGGTGCTTTGGGATTGAGATGCCCTGGAAGTTCCCTTTGGAGGAACTCAGAAATGATTCTTCTAGGAAAGGATCAGGAACAGAGCTCAGAAGATGGTACAAATAAAACTCTTAGTGAATCAGAGAAACTTTCCGATAATAATATAGTATCCAACCCTGAGAAAGACCTAGGATTTTCCAGGGTGATTCTTTCAGAAAATTATTCAAGAGCCTCAGTAGTGAGCCAAAATCAGAAAGAAATTGCAAAATCCCTGGAAGTACATCTGAGCAAGAAATTTGAGGAAATCAGTGAGGGCCATATCCCGGACACTGTGCATAGTTCACGGCATTCCATCAAGCATGCATTGCCTCTTCTTGCACACTCCCACAGCCAAATGACCCACAGAGATTTAACACCATCTCTGAGTGGGGACCAAAGTCTGAATACCTCTGAACATATTTCCTTTATTCCTACCAGCAATCAAGATCTGTTGGAAGCTCATATTAAACGATTTCGTAAGAACATGATATATGGCTTTCCCACAAAGGTCATTGAATCCTTTCAGATTTTTAACGAAAAGGAGGAACTTAAACACTCTCACTTCCATTCCAACTTCTCCTCCTCAGAAAAGCTTATTTCTGTGGTCAATTCCAATGCTGACATCTTCAAGCACCATAGAGAAAGTACTAATGCTCCTTATAGAGACAAGGTAGGAAGAGCAAATGCTGTCCCCATCCTAGATGATGCTCTTCGCTCCACCTCAACTGTAGGAAAGGAAAGACAGGGGACCCTGCCAAAACCAGCCTCTGAGAGCAGCCAAAAGCTTAGAGAGAACATTCAGGGTGCTCAGGAGGGCAGACGGGCTTTTCCACCTGGCACCCACCACGTCACGGATAAAGACAGAGAGTGAAAGTCCTCGCTAATATTCAAGGCCCACAGCTGCCCACAAGGCAAGCTGAAGCTAAACTTGAGACAAAAGATAAGAAAGATAATTCCCCAATGTAGTGAAAAAGCCTCAAGGCCAAAGGCCAATGTATTCAGGACACTTTTTAATGTCCAAGTCCAGTGAGATTTTTCAAGACAAAGGAACTCAGCAGTGCTCCTCAATCATGCTGTAATAATCTATTGAAACCCTGTGGGTTGAAAGGTTCCCCAGTGATGTACAGGAACATGGGTAAAGTAGAAAATACCCAGACCACTGAAAGACCTCCTCCAGAAATGACAGCTTCACAAGATCTTAAGTCATCAGAGCTGAAAAATCATATATTGTCAGAGTTCATGTTTAAATTGGAGAACAGCAAGCACAGCCAGGATCGTGGCTATCCAATAGACATGTCCTTTGCCTCCAATAACTTGCCTTCCAAGTCCTCACTGCATTCTGCCCAAGGTGTCTCCAGTGGGAACATCACAGCTTCCCTAGTGCTGCATGTCCACTTAGGCAACACAGCAGGATTTGTTGACCAGCCACAAGAGACTTGGGTCCCTAATTATGCCTGCTTGAACTGTCATCATAAGAATTTGGAATCAGTTGAGGTAAGAGAAAGCCCTCTTGGTGTACCTAAAGGAGGAGAGGTAGGTGGAGGGGATGCAGCCTTAGAGACATCGGGACTAGAGCAGTTGCCTTTTCAGGAGCCACCAAACGTCATAAATTCACTGCAGAAACTAGAAAGTTCCTTGAGGAGAAACAGGGGTGCAGACACAGAATTCAAAGCACCTGCCCCCAAGAGCCCTCTCCTCCCCTGTGAAAACTGGCCAAACTCAGCACAGTACAGGACTGCACGTCCAGGAAAAGCCCATCCAGAGTTACCGCTCTGACTACATGGCTCCTTCCTATAAAGTGACAGGTACCAATTCCTATAGCCGAGTTGCTGCCTCTCCTGTCCTGAGTAATCCCAGTGGGACTACTCAGATTCAAAACCAAAACAGACAGTCCCAGAGAGTCATGACATTAAAGTACCAGGCATTGTGTCACAGGCGCCTCCCATCAATTTCTTGTGGGGAGACACCCCCCACCGAAATTCCACATGCCCATCCAAGTGAGCATCAAGTCAGCCACGTGCCTTCGGGCACCTTTATCACTTCTGAAGGCTCTCTGCCGACAAATTTGTCTCTGTATTGAGAGAAGAAGCCTCGCTATCATTTCAAAAAAGTAAAATTCCTCTCCATCACTATTGCAATATTCTCATTCCTTGTTAAAAATACTAATCTCCATCAAATAATCCATTCATGATTGAAAATACTGATTATCCAATAAATAGTCCAATAAGAGTCATGGTATTTGTGTTCTTTGGGGGCATCAGGTCTGGGTAATCCTGGGCTTGTACTAAGGGAAAGGAAGGAATTTGCCTCTTTTGGTTAATAGAAGGAGCCCAGTCCCCAGGAGCTCTTACTGCAGAATGGATACCAAATGCACCAAAAAGCTCCTCCTCTCCCTAATGAAACTTGAGTAGTCACAACTGGCTTTTTAACTATTAGCTTAACTTAATAACATTGAATATCAGCCAGGGTTTTGTTCTCCGATTGATATTTTCACATCCTTTACAGAGTATGGTAGACAGGTCTTCCACATTTGAAGAGAGGTCAAAGACGATTTTGTTTTTAGAAAATTTTGTCCACGAGCAGGGGTAACGCAGGTGATGAACCTTGACTAGAAGTCCTTGGGGTTATTCTAGCCATGATATCAGCCTGATTGGGGTAGCATATTTTGACCTTACTATGGAGGCTTCCAACTGAAAAGTCACCTTGCATAAAGTGTTCCTCTCCTCTGGTATATCTTCAAGCTGCCTGCAATGATGATTGGATTTTTTAGAGCAATAGGATAAACCACCTGTCAGAGGTTGGATATGACTAAACAGCACCTGCCTCTCAGGAAAAAAAAAAAAATGAAGTTATGGAGAAATCTCAAGTAGAGTGAGTGGGAAAGTTAGAAAAAGATGGAATTGGAAAGAATGATGATATTGGTAGAACAAAGGTTAATACTGCACCATCCCAATATAATCCTGTCCTGTTCCCCATTTTTCAAGTCAAATCTAGGCACCCTTTATCCAAAGATAAGGGAATTAAAGAGCTGACCGATGCCCCTTAGGCAGAAGTGTCCAGGTGCCTGTTCCCTGAGCCCTAGAACAATACCTGCAAGGCTGTTGTCAGGCTCAGCGTCCCTCACTCTACGTAAGGTGATCACGGTGCCTGTCTTCCAGCCATGCTTGATGACAACATGCAGAATCTCGCCCATAGTGATTGCACTTCTCCTGCCAGGAAGGATGTGAAAACTCAGAGCTTCATGGGCTTAGGAAGACCATGCTGCCCCTTCCCCAGTGTAAACATAGGCAGCTATTGTCCCACAGTTTAGTACTGCACAATGTACTGGGGTCTCATGAAGGACCTCTAAACAATGCTCTTTTGGGCCAATGCAGCACACATACCAACTCTAATTATGGGTCTAGAGGAAAGGCAACTCCACTTTTACAGTCTGCAATTCAAACAGTTGGTGAGTATCCTAGAGAGCCTTTGAGATAATTTTTCCAGAAAAAAAATGTGTGAATAAAACTTTAACTAGGTCAAAATAAAAACCAAATTAAACAGACATCCGCACAGCTCCCTCTACAAAAATTCTATCTTCTTGTTCTACATTATAACATTGACCTGAAATGTCTGGAGCTTAGGGTTGAAGAAAGAGTACAGATTCTGTGAAGGACCCAGGAAAGTCACTGGGTGGGGATTCTATGGAGGACCCCAACATTCATATGGGTGCACCAGCCAGTGACATGGCTTCTCTTTTCTTCAGTAGCCTGGTCACCTGTTCCCCTGTAGCAGCTGTAAAGCTGAGTTGGGGAAGCGGTGAATTACAATGTTATACTCCATAGTGGAGCACCAAGACCTGCGACCAAATACTTTTACCTATTTAAAGGGGGTGATGTCTCTATATTTCCTTAGAAAGTATCAGATATCAATATAGATATATACTCAGAAAACGTTTACTAATTTATAACATGAATAAATGTTTGAGTTAAGCACACTAAAAGCTTATAGATTTTCAAGTTAGTTTTTCAGTTTTGTAAATTACATTGATCACTTGAAGAATGCTGAGATTTCGAAGTAAAGAAAATTTAAAAATGTATGAATCTCAAGCGAGGAGCACGTGCATGAGTGCACAACATCCCAAGAGGAGAATGGAGGAGAAGGAATTGTAGTGTGGACATCCCCCCAGGGAATGATTTCTCTCTTTCTCTCTCTCTTTCTCTGTTTCTGTCTCTTTAGCATGTGCACATGTGCTATAGCAAAAAAATAAAAATAAAAAAAGAAAACAGTAAAAATAAATTCATGTGATTCTGTTATTTTTGAATTATGTATCTTGCATGTAACTGTACAATATTAATTTGAATAGACCAAATTCTGTGTATTGAGTTTGGCATGTTTTAAGAATTACTGAGATGCAAATAATATCTGCATTTTGGTAGCATGATTTCAGGTAATGCTCAATTATTAAAGTCAACCATTTAAATACATTAGAGAGAGCCCAGTGGTTCGAGATTAGTCAGAAAAAAAGGATCCAGAACGTGAAGCTGAGAAAGGCAAATGACTGTGGCCAGAGAAACCCAGGAGAGGAGAATTCCTGAAAATCAATAGAATAATGTTTCATGAAGGGGACAGAGCAATAGGGCCAAATATTCCTGATCAAGTAACCATAGACAGGGAATTGACCCAGAAAAGTCTGAGGCGACCTGTGAAAATAAGTCAACAGAGCGAAGAGTGAAGACCTGGGAGAGCCTTTAGGGAGGAAGGGAGTAGGGAGGACCTGGACTGGGGCAGAGACCTGGCTGATGAGGTGTGAACAGCTGGGAAGGATTACGAGGATTGGCTATGCCTTTAAGGGTTGGCTTTTTTTTTTTTTTAAGATTAAAAAAAATCTATAGCTTATTTCCAATTAGCATTTAACAAATATGAAATAGTTAAGCCTCATGCACTTTTACATTTACAGACAGTATATATTTTAGAACTGCAGAAATCAACTGACATGGGTGAAAATCTCTGTACTGTTGTAATTTAGCAATTAGCAAACAGAAATAAATTTTATAAAACTGATTAAGGAGAGTGCTTAAGGATGACGAGAACCAGAGGACATGACAGAGCCGGCACATATTTGGGAGCTGGGAATCTGGAGGAGGGGAGGGAACTGACAGTCAAGCAGACAAAGCACCTGCAAACCAGTTCACACCAGAGAAGACAGGTGACAGTGACGTGGTGGCACCAAATAAAGAAACGGAGGTTATATGTTAAGAACTTGGCTCTTTGAAAATGGGAAGTTTTGTTTCATTTTTTCTACATTGTGTATAATTAAACAAAATCTTTGGATGATGCCCTTTACCCGTATTGTGTAAAAACCTCTTGAAATGTCACCATGCTGCAAATGCAGAAAGAGGATTCCAAATGTTTGCCTGGGACAGACTCTGAGACAACTCTTCTTTCTTTTTTCTTTCTTTCTTTTTTTATTTAAGCTTATTTATTCACAAAATGAGAACAGGAGAAGCATACAGCACCCCTGGCAGAGTCTTGACATGCAACCCATTCTCCAGCTTCTGTCAGCTCAAGGCATGGGGATATGTAGCCCAGGATACTCCAGCCCCTGACCAAACAGCCTCCCTTCCCAAGTGGGGCTGGCACACAGATGGATGCATTACACCACTGTGTCACCCTCCCGCTTGAAACTCTTTAAAGCGGGCATTGTATAATTCTGGGGTCTGGGTGTGGTTTTGGTGGCTATGGAATCGAAGCCCCAAATCTCAAAGGCTAGCTAAAACTGGGGGGCACGATGTGAGTGGTCTATTTTAAAACATATTTATTTCAAAGTAATTAAACCTGCAGCACGGGGGCAAGGAAGGTGCTGCTTAGGTTTGTCTTTTTTTTAGAGCA